GTCCAACAAATGGCTGCTAAAGTTCAACCCGAGTAAATGCAAAGTAATGAAACTAGGCGGTGGAAACAGGAGGCCAGACACAGGATACAGAATAGGAGATGAAGTACTTCATGAAATGGACAGACAGAGAGAAGATCTAGGAGTTGATATCACACCAAACCTGTCTCCCGAAGCCCACATAAAAAGAATAACATCTGCGGCATATGCGAGGTTGGTTAACATCAGAACAGGCTTCAGGAACCTATGTAAGGAATCATTCAGAATCTTGTACACCACATATGTAAGACCAATCCTGAAGTATGCGGCCCCAGCATGGAGCCCGTACCTTGTCAAGCACAAGACGAAGTTGGAAAAAGTTCAGAGGTATGCCACTAGACTAGTCCTGGAACCGAGAGGTATGATCTACGAGGAAAGGCTGCGGGAAATGCACCTTACGACACTGGAAGACAGAAGAGTAAGGGGAGACATGATCACTACCTACAAAATCCTCAGGGGAATCGACCGGGTAAACAAGGATAAACTATTCAAAACTGGCGGTACGCGAACAAAGGGATACAGGTGGAAACCGAGTACCCAAATGAGCTACAGGGACGTTAGAAAGAACTTTTTCAGTGTCAGAGTAGTTAATAAATGGAATGCACTAGGCAGTGATATGGTGGAGGCTGACTCCATACACAGTTTCAAATGTAGATATGATAGAGCCCAGTAGGCTCAGGAATCTATACACCAGTTGATTGACAGTTGAGAGGCGGGACCAAAGAGCCAAAGCTCAACCCCCGCAAGCACAACTAGGTGAAAAGAACTAGGTGAACACACACGCACACTAGTGATAAGGTCGGGGCGCCCCACCATACAGCCTCCATCTAAAGAAACAAAAAATTAAACTGGAAATGGTTCAGAAGTTTGCGACGAGGCTCGTCCGAGAACTGCAAGGGCTGGGATATGAAGAGCGAGTGAAAAAACTAAACCTGACTTTACTAGAAAAAAGGAGAAAGGGGAGACATTATAGAGACGTACAAAATACTTAATGAGATTGATATAGTGGAAATAGATGAAATGATCACACTAAATACTAATAGAAATAGAGAGCAAGGGTGGAAGCTTGAAACACAGATGAGTCACAGTTTTCATTTAGCGTAGTGGGAAAATGCGACGAATTAAAGCATCAGGTTATGGAAGAAAACTATGTTCATCATTTTAAAAGTAGGTATGACACGGAAATAGGGCGGGAGTTATTGCTTTAATCAACCGGCGGCAAGAAAGACGGGGTCCAAGGGCTAATGTTTGATAATGCAGGTACAATAGACGAGAACAAATAGGTGAGTATACACGAGTTGTGAGTTGAGAGGCGGGACCAAAGAGCCAGAGCTCAACCCCCGCAAGCACAACTAGGTGAGTAAATACTCATCTTGACTAGCGTATGCTGAAGGAAACAATTTAACAGTCTTTCAGCACCTCACTCTTAACCTTTCTCATCGTGTTTTCACCTGGCTAGGCTTCCAGAAGTTCAGCTTCACCTCCTGGTCCCGCCTCTGAAGCTATTGTGCTCTTTCAACTGAAGCTGTGAATCGAGTCTGTCTCCAACACTACTGTCTACCTGCCTTATTTTTATTACTTCTCTGAGAGAATGTTTCATTATGATATCATGTAGCTCATTCGGGTACTTACATTCCACCCCTCACTAATTGTGTCATCCTTGTTTGTACTTGTTTTGTGGGTAGTGATGTGTTGGGTTCTTAACACATCTCATTCTTGCCTTATATTTCTTCCCATCTCATTTTAGCTTCATCACTTGGTCTGGTGCTCTTATTATCGTCTTTATTACAACGCTGCTCAATATTCTTTTCTGCCATGTGATTATTTCAACTGTTTCCCGCTGCTTCTGTCCACCTTGTGTTGTACGCGGTTCCTTGCTCCTCTTGGCTTCTCGCTATTAGCTGCGTGCTTTACTGTTTCCTGTTCTTTTGTTCCTGTTCCTGGCATTATGGTTGAGCCGGTTGAGCCACAGGAGACAGCTCGGCTCCTCACTTTCTGCCATTACCACAGGAACAACTATATGACCTCTGAACATTTCTGGATTCTGAACTCCATCATTACAGTCGATGGTAACCTTCCTGTCGTCTCTCCAACTGACCTGCAGGAAAACCTCTTACATAATCTCACCTACTGTTATTTTTTCTTCAGTTTCTGTAGAGCCGTGGCCAATTACTCCCTTCTTCACGAGGCACGCCCGAGAACCTCCGTTGTCCCGTTCTTCTGGACTTCGTGGACGAAGTTTTCCTTTGTGGATGAAGTCCCAGAGGACAATGAGCCATGCCAGCGTTGCTACCCTGCACATGAGCTTTTCGCTCGTTCCGATTTGTTATTACAGACTTCCTTACCCCTTCTGTTATTGGGTGAGGGCGTGGAGAACACGTACACACACTAACATGCAGGTGGACAAGCGCGCAGGAAACAGGCAGTCAGTCATGCGAGTAAGCACGCATGCAAGCATGCCGCCACACAGAAAGAAAGGCAAATTAGGCAGTCAGTGAATCAGGCAGTCTATAAGAAAGTCAGTCAAGCAGTCAGTCTGTCAGGCAGCAGGTAGGCAGACAAGCAAGGACACAGGTCTGGGAGGACGACTGGCAGACAGGTCAAACAGTCCAAAGAGGCAGGTGGGCATTAAACCAAACAACCATAACATACAGGAGGCAGACAGGCCGAGACTCTAGGAAGGAAGGCAAAGAGGACCAAGCAGGCAAAAGTACTGGGACACAGGCAGGCAGGCAGGCAGGCAGGCAGGCAGGCCGGCAGGCAGGCAGGCAGGCCGGCAGGCAGGCAGGCCTGGAGGACGAGTCCTCGCCTACGGGTTAGGCAAAACACCATGGAATGTGGGCCAGGTAAGCTGGAGGGCAATTTTCTCATTTACCTTACACAGGGGACTCAACCACCCCTCCACCCCTGTAACCCGCTCCCTCCTAACCCACTACTCCTTCACATATCCCCCAACCAACACACCTCACTGATTCCCCCCTCACGCACACATCTCACCCATCTTCCTCACCCATCATTCAACCCTCTCATCCACACACCTCCCCATTCTCTCTCACTAACTCTCCCACACCTCATCCCCGTCCTCCCTGCCACATTCCTCAAATCCCACAAAAATTGCCTCGCCCATTCCCGTCACCCAAAAAAAAAAAACACCTAAACTTACCTAAGTTCAGCGTTAGGTAACACCTAACTTGCCTAAACACCTTACCCACGAGTCGAACCTCTTGGTTGCCACTACGCTCCCAACACCCTATAACGACTCGGCATGGTACGGACTCTAGTGTGACCACCGCTGCCGTTACTACAACGGACACCCTTAAACAGAGACCAGACTGGGGTGCGTGCTTTCCACCAGTGCCGCGCCCTCTGTCACTGGCTGGCTGAAATCAACCGGGGGAAACATTCGATTTCAGGCTCCGGCAGTGAATTATTTTCAATGTTGGCAGCAAAGTGGTCCCATAGGAATTACAACTGAAGATAAATTAGACGTATTGACGTAACTCTTCTTCCGTGAACACAGATATACGGAGATACTACCAGTGTTACGGAGATACTACGAAGATACTACCACTACACGTAAAGGGGAACCTTTACGTGTAGTGGTAGTAGTAGTATGAGCAGTAGTGGTGGTCGTAGAAGCAGTAGTAGCAACAGTAATAACGGTAAAATTAGTAAATGTAGTTTTAATATATTGAGTAAGCTAAAGCTGATAATTCGGTCACAAAGAGTTATTACAAGCGATAACTAGATTCTAGTAACTACTCACCCGTTACTGCACTAACACCATCAAATAGTGAACCTTAATAATAACTACCAGGAGTAATGACCACCATAGATATGACCACCACGAGTAATGAACACCATGAGTAATGACCACCATAGATATGACCACGAGTAATGACTACCACAAGTAATGACCACCAGTAATGACCACGTGTAATGACCACCATGAGTAATGACCACAAGTAATGACCACCATGAGTAATGACCACCATGAGTAATGACCATGAGTAATTACCACCATGAGTAATGACCACCATGAGTAATGACCACCATGAGTAATGACCACGAGTAATGACCACCATGAGTAATGACCACCATGAGTAATGACCACCATGAGTATTAAAGATCACCACGAGTAATGACCACCATGAGTAATGATCACAATGAGTAATGACCACGAGTAATGACCACCATGAGTAATGATCACAATGAGTAATGACCACCATCATTAATGATCACCACGAGTATTAATGATTACCATGAGTAAAGACCACCATGAATAATGACCAAAACGAGTAGTAATGACCACCACGAATAATGATCAAAAGTAATGACCACCACCAGTAATGACCACTACAGGTAATGACCACAGGTAATGACCACCACAGGTAATGACCACCACAAGTAATGACCACCACAAGTAATGACCACCACAGGTAATGACCACCACCAGTAATGACCACCACCAGTAATGACCACCACCAGTAATGACCACCACCAGTAATGACCACCACCAGTAATGACCACCACCAGTAATGACCACCACCAGTAATGACCACCACAAGTAATGACCACCACAAGTAATGACCACCACCAGTAATGACCACCACCAGTAATGACCACCACCAGTAATGACCACCACAAGTAATGACCACCACCAGTAATGACCACCACCAGTAATGACCACCACCAGTAATGACCACCACAAGTAATGACCACCACCAGTAATGACCACCACCAGTAATGACCACCACCAGTAATGACCACCACCAGTAATGACCACCACAAGTAATGACCACCACAAGTAATGACCACCACAAGTAATAAAAATTGAGGTGTATCGATGCAATCTCACCTCTAAATTAAACATTGTAAGATAACTAATAATAATAATAATAATAAATAATGAGGAGGAGGAAGTGACCCTAACCTAACCAGACGGTGGAGGATGGGGTACTCACCTATAGTAGTAACCAGACCGAAGAGATGCGTGTCTTGCATGCCCAACTGGTGGAGGTAGGAGCAGGCCTGGCTGTACACTTCACCCACTCGTGTCTTCACCTGTTGATAAACACACCACGTCACAACCTACACACACCACGTCACAACCTACACACACCACGTCACAACCTACACACATTATCATCATCTAATTAACATCAAATAAAAAAAATATATATATATATATATATATATATATATATATATATATATATATATATATATATATATATATATATATATATTAGCAATATAAATGGTACATGAAACAAGCAAGAGAAATTAATTGGAATATAAATATGTTGATCATGCTGTTGTAAGCTGGAAAGTTGTGTTATCTATAGTGTCTAAAATTTACTATTACATCCGCCAGCTGGTAGAGAACATGGCTGGACCCGGATTCACGAAGCAGTTACGCAAGCACTTATGAACCTGTACATCTTTTCTCAATCTTTGGCGGCTTTGTTTACAATTATTTAACAGTTAATGAGCTCCGAAGCACCAGGGGGGGGGGCTGTTTATAACAATAACAACAGTTGATTGGGAAATTTCATGCTTGTAAACTGTTTAATAAATGTAACCAAAGCCGTCAAAGATTGAGGAAAGTCATACACGTTCGTAAGTACTTGCGTAACTGCTTCGTGAATCCGGATCCAGGTCCCGTGCAAGGGCGGGAAGGCGCTAGATGACAAATGCACTCTCCAAGCGCTACGCAATTTAGATATGGAAATTACTCGACTAGTTGTGTTTACCAGAGTTTTTGAGTCACTGAAAGTTCTGAGTACTGGAAATTATGAATACTGGAAATGTTAAGTACTAGACGTTCTGCGTACTGGAAGTTCTATGCACCCTAAGTTTTAAGTACTGGAAGTTCTGCGTACTAGACGTTCTGCGTACTGGAAGTTCTGTGCATCCTAAGATTTAAGTACTTGAAGTTCTGAATATTGGAACTGAAAACCCGTCTGCAAACCTGCCCGTTTACAAGCCTGTCCATTTGCAAACCTGTCCGTTTACAAACCTGAGTTCGGGTAAACTTAATGAGAACTACACCGGATCTCTAGGTAAACACGGCTCTAAATGCCACCTCCAAGTAAACTCAGCTCTGCAGGTCACTTTCAGAACAAGACGTCAATAGCCTCTCATAAGCAGGAAAGCCGCGGCCAGCCCATCAGAGCTTCGTAACCCATACACAAATATCAGTGCGCGGGAAAAGTCAAGCGCTGTGACGACGCCGAACTCATATCTCACATGTCTTTACCGCTCCAAAGGTACACCAGCGGTGCCTAATGTGCTACGTGAGCACGACTCATTAGGTGGTATTACTAGACAAGACGTTAGCCGTATATGCCAGATCAATGCCCGCCTTTTAGACCACTCCGTTCATATTGTACGTAGGCCGCTTCGACAAAAGCACGTTTTCTGTTTGTTAAAAAAGGTATGTTTTGTTAGCTCCTGTTAACCTCCGTTGGGTGAGGTAGGGGATAAAATTCGTTGGTAAACCGTTTTGTGACGATGTGACTTGTATTGCAACCATATATGGGGTTGAAAGGGGGGTGGGAGGGGGAGGTAAGGGTTTTGGAGTGGAGGTAAATTAGAGAGAGGACGGGCCGGCGGCCCGGGTGACGCAACCCGTCAACAATGCTCTCCTACCCTTACTGCATTCTTGTCCTCCCTCCCTCTCTCCCTCCCCCGCCACCCACACCATACTCCCCCCACTCTCCCCCCCCAACCTGTCTCTCTCTCTCTCTCTGTCTCCCTCTCTCTGTCTCCTGCCCCACCACTCTCCCCTACCATCACACACCTGCCCCACCACTCTCCCAACCATCACACACCTGCCCCACCACTCTCTCCAACCATCACACACCTGCTCCACCACTCTCTCCAACCATCACACACCTGCTCCATCACTCTCCTACCATCACACACCTGCCCCACCACTCTCTCCTACCATCACACACCTGCTTCACCACTCTCTCCTACCATCACACACCTGCCCCACCACTCTCCCCTACCATCACACACCTGCCCCATCACACTCTCCCACCATCACACACCTGCCCCACCACTCTCCCACCATCACACACCTGCCCCACCACTCTCTCCAACCATCACACACCTGCCCCACCACTCTCTCCCACCATCACACACCTGCCCACCACTCTCTCCCACCATCACACACCTGCCCCACCACTCTCTCCAACCATCACACACCTGCCCCACCACTCTCTCCAATCATCACACACCTGCCCCACCACTCTCCTACCATCACACACCTGCCCCACCACTCTCTCCTACCATCACACACCTGCCCCACCACTCTCTCCTACCATCACACACCTGCTTCACCACTCTCTCCTACCATCACATACCTGCCCCACCACTCTCCCCTACCATCACACACCTGCCCCATCACTCTCTCCCACCATCACACACCTGCCCCACCACTCTCTCCCACCATCACACACCTGCCCCACCACTCTCTCCCACCATCACACACCTGCCCCACCACTCTCTCCAACCATCACACACCTGCCCCACCACTCTCTCCCACCATCACACACCTGCCCCACCACTCTCCCTACCATCACACACCTGCCCCACCACTCTCCCCTACCATCACACACCTGCCCCACCACTCTCCCCTACCATCACACACCTGCCCCACCACTCTCCGCTACCATCACACACCTGCCCCACCACTCTCCCCTACCATCACACACCTGCCCCACCACTCTCCCCTACCATCACACACCTGCCCCACCACTCTCCCCTACCATCACACACCTGCCCCATCACTCTCCCCTACCATCACACACCTGCCCCACCACTCTCCCCTACCATCACACACCTGCCCCACCACTCTCCCTACCATCACACACCTGCCCCACCACTCTCCCCTACCATCACACACCTGCCCCATCACACTCTCCCACCATCACACACCTGCCCCACCACTCTCCCACCACTCTCTCCAACCATCACACACCTGCCCCACCACTCTCTCCCACCATCACACACCTGCCCCACCACTCTCTCCCACCATCACACACCTGCCCCACCACTCTCTCCAACCATCACACACCTGCCCCACCACTCTCTCCAATCATCACACACCTGCCCCACCACTCTCCAACCATCACACACCTGCCCCACCACTCTCTCCTACCATCACACACCTGCCCCACCACTCTCTCCTACCATCACACACCTGCCCCACCACTCTCTCCAACCATCACACACCTGCCCCACCACTCTCCCCTACCATCACACACCTGCCCCATCACTCTCTCCCACCATCACACACCTGCCCCACCACTCTCTCCCACCATCACACACCTGCCCCACCACTCTCTCCCACCATCACACACCTGCCCCACCACTCTCTCCAACCATCACACACCTGCCCCACCACTCTCTCCCACCATCACACACCTGCCCCACCACTCTCCCCTACCATCACACACCTGCCCCACCACTCTCCCCTACCATCACACACCTGCCCCACCACTCTCCCCTACCATCACACACCTGCCCCACCACTCTCCGCTACCATCACACACCTGCCCCACCACTCTCCCCTACCATCACACACCTGCCCCACCACTCTCCCCTACCATCACACACCTGCCCCACCACTCTCCCCTACCATCACACACCTGCCCACCACTCTCCCCTACCATCACACACCTGCCCCACCACTCTCCCCTACCATCACACACCTGCCCCACCACTCTCCCCTACCATCACACACCTGCCCCACCACTCTCCCCTACCATCACACACCTGCCCCACCACTCTCCGCTACCATCACACACCTGCCCCACCACTCTCCCCTACCATCACACACCTGCCCCACCACTCTCCCCTACCATCACACACCTGCCCCACCACTCTCCCCTACCATCACACACCTGCCCCACCACTCTCCCCTACCATCACACACCTGCCCCACCACTCTCCCCTACCATCACACACCTGCCCCACCACTCTCCCCTACCATCACACACCTGCCCCACCACTCTCCCCTACCATCACACACCTGCCCCACCACTCTCCCCTACCATCACACACCTGCCCCACCACTCTCCCCTACCATCACACACCTGCCCCACCACTCTCCCCTACCATCACACACCTGCCCCACCACTCTCCCCTACCATCACACACCTGCCCCACCACTCTCCCCTACCATCACACACCTGCCCCACCACTCTCCCCTACCATCACACACCTGCCCCACCACTCTCCGCTACCATCACACACCTGCCCCACCACTCTCCCCTACCATCACACACCTGCCCCACCACTCTCCCCTACCATCACACACCTGCCCCACCACTCTCCCCTACCATCACACACCTGCCCCACCACTCTCCCCTACCATCACACACCTGCCCCACCACTCTCCCCTACCATCACACACCTGCCCCACCACTCTCCGCTACCATCACACACCTGCCCCACCACTCTCCGCTACCATCACACACCTGCCCCACCACTCTCCCCTACCATCACACACCTGCCCCACCACTCTCCCCTACCATCACACACCTGCCCCACCACTCTCCCCTACCATCACACACCTGCCCCACCACTCTCCCCTACCATCACACACCTGCCCCACCACTCTCCCCTACCATCACACACCTGCTCCACCATTCTCTCCTACCATCACACACCTGCCTTACCACTCTCCCTACCATCACACACCTGCCCCACCACTCTCCCCTACCATCACACACCTGCCCCACCACTCTCTCCAACCATCACACACCTGCCCCACCACTCTCTCCAACCATCACACACCTGCCCACCACTCTCTCCTACCATCACACACCTGCCCCATCTCTCTCTCCTACCATCACACACCAGCCCCACCACTCTCTCCTACCATCACACACCTGCTCCACCATTCTCTCCTACCATCACACACCTGCCTTACCACTTTCCCTACCATCACACACCTGCCCAACCACTCTCCCCTACCATCACACACCTGCCCCACCACTCTCCCTACCATCACACACCTGCCCAACCACTCTCTCCTACCATCACACACC